TTTTAGAGGTATTCGTCCTAGCGTCTCTTAATCAGCGACTTCTAGGCGGCGTTCGTCGGCTTAAGGTATGTCTTAAAGGCCTTTAATATATCCCTCACTTCCTTATAGCCGGTATACTAATCCTTTAAAGCAGGGCTAACCGTCTTCGCGATATAGTCGTAGAGTGCTTAGATCCCCCTCTTTTTAGCTTTATACCGATCCTCTTCCACCTACCAGATCTTAAATAATATATCCTAATGAGTGGCGTTATATTCTTTGGCTATAGCAGGAGGCTATAGTAGATCGGTTCGAATGTAACGCTTAGGCCGTTTAGCCTTTTCAAGATCGGGATTAACGAGGTCGGCGATATCGTAGGAGTGCGCGATAGTTATCACGGCTTTAATCTAAGGCCTCTAGTCTTTCGGAGCGGTAAGCGTTACGAGTCCTATAATAGGCACTACTACTGTGAAAGCTATCGTTATACTAATAAAAAGATGTAGAATAGGATAAACAAAAAGGTTAATTAACTATACTAAACGCTTTAAACGGTAGTGCGATAGAAACGATAAAATAATTAAATAAAACTAAAGCAGGCGGACGTTACCAATAATACTAAACTACCCGCTATAGACTTAAGGCTAATTTGCCTAGAAGCTATAGGATCGATCAGAATAGCTTCGTTTATTAGAACGCCGGGCTTATAACTGTTAGAATATAAATAAGGTACGCGGAATTATATATGTATTTATCTAAGTGAAGTTCAAGATACTTTATAGCGATCTAACTATACGGAAAAAGCAGGGGAAATAATGGTGGATATATAGGACCGAGGTACTCCACACGTCTAGTATCATATAGTTTATCACACCTCGATAAGGTGGCTATAGGCATCTAATATATCGTATAGCACTCTATAATACGTTATACCCCCGCTAATACGTTAATAGGTTATAACCTAAGGGGACCTAATAAAGTATAGCTCCCGAGGGCAGGCGAGGTTTATACTACTAAAGCCGAGCGCTATACAGAGTACCTTATAGCTTAGCTCCGATCTATCTCGGACCTTATTAAAAGGGCGTAGGTTTCCTACGAACAGTATTATAATAACGGTTATACCTAGTATTCGTTTAAAGTGGACGAGTACGTCTTACTATCTACGAAGAATATCCGATAGAAGAGACCTTTGAAAAAGCTTAGGGATATATTTATCGGGCTATATAAGGTAACTAAGATCGTTAGCACATATAGTCTAGCCTACTAATTAGAACTACTAAAGGGTATAAGGATTTATAATATCTTCCCGGTTTCCCTACTAGAATTATAGAGGTCCCGCGATAGTTTATAACCGGAACTACTCGTAGTCGATATCGAACCAGAATCGGTTAAGTACAAAGTTAAAGCTATCCTAGACTACCGATATTAGAGTAAGCGACATTAATCCCTGATTAAAGAGGTAGGGTATAGCGATAAGGAGAATACCTAGGAGCCTAAGCGGAATATCCCCGATAAACTCGTTAACACTTATTTTAGGTCGAGGCTCTTCCCCTCTAGGAATTAAAGAATACTATTCCTATAGGAGACCTTATAGATATAATATAAGGGCGTTATTCCATCCTTCCCCTCCTTACAGATAACGAAACTTACTAGGAACTAAATAGGTTTATATACTATCCCCGTAGGGGACTTAATAAAGGTAAGGGTCCACGTATCGGCTATATTAACCTAAAAACCCCTTTAATAGGCCGTAGAAATAAATTCTCAGGTATACCGGCCCCGTTCTTCTTCCTTTAGTATAATAGCTTATCGCCCTTAAGCTCTATTTACCTCTGCTTTCCCCTTAATTAACCGTTATTATAGGACATAATTATATTATAGCGAAGCATAGTTAGGACTATTAGGGTTATAATAGGAATACCCTAAAGCTAGTTGAAAAAAAAAGGAAAAACCTAACCCGAAGGCTGGTAAAAAACCTGAAAAAAGAAATAACCGTTTCCTCTATATATACCTATCACGCCCCTAAAAGCACGTCCTTAAACCCTACTAACTTATTATCTAGAGGGGTAGGCTCGCGCCTAACCGTCTCGCCGTTATCCTCTATATATATCTAGCTCTGCCCCGCGGTAGCAGCTATTACCCCCTCTTACCTACTACCCGCGGATAGCGTTAAAGGATAAAAAGACAGCGGCGTCTTCGCCCTCTACTATTTCTTCTTCTTCTTCCCTGATAAAGGAGTTAAAGGCGTTAAAGCCTTCTTCCCCTTACCCTTCTTCACTAATAAGGCCAGCACTATATTGTTATCATCGGGTATTTAGTAAGGGTCTAGCAGACCCTACGAACCTTACGGTATCGTAACCCCCGATAGCGAGCCTTAAGGTTACGTAGAGCTATTACTATCTCTAAATATATCGTTACCTATAAAGCTAACCCCCGCGGGGGCTAAGGCAGACCCTAAGGGTATAGGCAGGTCTTCCTAGGCCCGAGCCTAGGCTAGGTTAAGGGCAGCTATTTACTTAAAGGCAGTGGCTATATATTCCTAGGCCGCGACGTCGCGCTAATATAACGCTAGGCGTTACTACTCGATATGAAGCCGCTACTACTTAACGGTAAGACGCTATTACTATAACCCGACGAATTACTTAGGGATCGACTCTATACTATTAAGCCTTTTATGGATATCTTCCGCTATTTTCTAGTAGGCGTCGGTAACTTCCTTAGCTTAACGCCGAGTAGTAATACCTTCCTTAGTAGCTAACCGGTTACTCTCCTATATCGATTAACCTAGAGCCTCTCTAAGGATAACCTAGCATCGAACTACTATAGCTTAGTATTATAGAGGATTAGTGAGGGTACTACGCAGGATTAATAACGGATATAGTTAATAAAGGGATATAGTTAGGGAAAATATACACAGCGAGTCTTATTTAGGCCACCTTTCTCGATAGCGATAACTAAAACCTTCTATAGCTACTCGGCAGCGTTCTTACCGGTAATAAGGAGCTATTATATATATTAGAAAACGGGACTACGGTGTGGTCTATAAAGGGAGGGGCTGTAGGCATCGAAGATAGTGTATAACTTACTACGCGGCACTTAAGGCTATTATACTTAAAGTACTAGTAGTATTTATTTATCCGTCGACTATTATCAGTATAACGATATATCATGGCCTTAATAGTATACGTCTTTTCCTTAAAGTAAATCGCTACGAACTTACCCGTATAACGTATATAGGGGGCCCTTAGATCCCCCTCTATACCGATATCCACTACCTTTTAGCGGGGAGCGACCGATAGCGTAGTAGTCAACGTTAAAGACGTAGTCGTAGTACGAGCAGGAGGCTCTAACGTAGTAGGCTATATAGTAGACTACCTAGCGGACTACGAGGTCGACGCTATAGCCGTGGTCTTAAGCCCTTTAGAGGCTCGCGTTATACTCGCGGGAGTAGCGGCGCGTTTATTATTATTATCCTCCTAGGAAGGTATAATGACTATACTATATCGCGTAGTTAGTCAGTACTATAGACTAGAGATAGGCTTAGGAGCACTTATAAGATAGTAGTTGATTAATAGAAGACTATAAGACGTTAGCACGCAATAACTTAGATTAGGCGGAACTTACCGAGAGAGTGGTATAATCGAAAAATTAAGTATAGAAGAGGAAGAAAAGAATAGGAAAAGGGACTAACGGCAGGTTACGAGATATCCCTAATAGCGGTTCTATAGCACCTATTTTTAGTATAAAAAAGGAAGCTATAAGATTCACGGAAAGAGTAATAACGGGCCCCATATAATACTAAGAGGGAGTCTTTATAAGTCGATTAAAGGGATAGCCAGGGGGATAAAGGAATAGACTAGGGAATTAGTGGAGGAACCGGCCTAGAACCTATTAGGTTCCCGGACGGAATATTAGCTTAGTGGTTTTAGGTGATAGAGCGAAGGGAGGGGGTTTATACCCGGGTTAGAGCTATAGCTAAAGAGGCTCCGTGTAGGAACCAGGCGTGGACTTAGCGAGGTCCTATTGTGGAGGGCTTTAGTTTAGGGTATCGGGGGATTTAGGGACGGACTCAGAAACTAGTTTTCGGAGGAGCCAAGAGGCCGGCACGGATCAGACGCTCCTAAGGATAAGAGTATCCGGGGGAGGTTGCTATATCAGCTGCCTATACCAGTGGTTATAATAGGTCCCTAGTATAAACCTATAAGGGTCTAGGCATACCTAGTCTAAGATCCCTTAAGGTATAAATAAAGCAGTTATTATATAGTAAATAGAATAGTCCCTCGAAGTAAATAAGGCAGCCCTCGAGGAAGTAAATAAGTAGCCCTCGAGGAGTAGCGGAACATAGTCTTAAGGAGCGGAAGAGCCTCCCCTTTAAAGGGGGAGGTTAGCGATTAATCTGACTCTTTAGCTATACTCACGTTCTGACCCTATTATGATCCTATCGTGATTATACCTGGTTCCTTGCTTAACCCTACCTTTGTACTCTTTGCGACTACCTATTTGACATTTTATTCTTATTTTCCTACTATATTTCCTATTTCCTATTTATTTATTATTCTAATTTTATTCTATTTATTATTCTATTTATTATTCTATTTATTATTATATTTATTATTATATTTTTATTATATGTTTATTATATGTTTATTATATTTTTTTTATATTTTTTTATATTTTCTTTATTCTATTAGGGAGGTAAGAAGGGTATAGTATATAGTAATATAGTGTAATCGTTAAATCTAAAGACGATTCGTATAGAGCGCCCTTAATAAACGGAATTACTATTAGGCGTAGAGGCTATATACTTTAAAAGTACCGCGGGTTTAGGGGTTATACAGACAGGTATATCCTATGTACTGAAGTCGCGCGGAAAATACTGCTATATCTCAAAAAACGGGCCCGGCCGGTAGTACTGGTACGAACGCCAAGTTGCCAAGAGTGCCGGACAATAAAGCGGGCCAGCGTCAGTGTATACTTGGAAACCCGAACCCGAAGAGTGGGGAACGTCCTGGTACGGGTGCTGCACTTCTCCTCGTCGTCGCGTCCCCGAACGGTTCAATCCGCTCTTTCCTTATCCAGAACTTGGTTTTGCACTCAGTCTTTCTAAACGGTCAGATACCTACATCACTTCTCCCTAAGGTCCAGCTGAACATCACACACACTTTGCTCAAGGCCCTACTCTGGTCCAATTGGCACGTTCAAGAGCCAGACGGACGCGTCCTTGCTTGCACTATGGCGTCGCTTGGAGACGACCTGCTGAAGACCGTCAATAAATTGCAAGACTTAGTCTTCAACACCATTGGCAGTGACTCTCTGGACCTCCCTCAAATTGTGAGTTTCTCTATATCCCAGAATTCATCGCGCGTATAGAATTCTCACAATCAATTAAATGACAGGTGGTCGTCGGCTCGCAATCCGCGGGTAAATCGTCCGTTCTCGAGAATATTGTCGGTCGTGACTTCTTGCCACGCGGAAGTGGCATTGTCACCAGACGACCACTTATTCTCCAGCTCATCAACGTACCCCAGGAGGAATTTGATTTGGATCCGTCCGATTGCCTCTACACATCTCCTTCACAAGCTAGGCGATCCGAATGGGCCGAGTTTCATCATGTTCCAAATCGCCGCTTGAATGATTTTTCCGACGTCAAACGTGAGATCGAAAACGAAACAGCAAGAGTAGCTGGTAGCAACAAGGGCATCAATCGGCAGCCCATCAACCTCAAAATCTACTCACCTCATGTTCTAAACTTGACACTTGTCGATCTTCCGGGACTTACCAAGGTATGGAACAGATGACTCCGAGTAGACAGCAGTGGCATTGACCTTCACTCAAGGTACCCATTGGCGACCAGCCTAGCGACATTGAGAAACAGACACGCAATCTCATCTCCGAGTATATCGCGAAGCCAAACAGCATCATCCTCGCTGTCTCTCCGGCAAACGTGGATATCGTGAATTCGGAAGCCTTGAAGCTTGCCAGGCATGTGGATCCATTGGGCAGGAGAACTATCGGTGTCCTTACCAAGATTGACCTTATGGACCACGGTACGAATGCTCTCGACATCCTCTCCGGTCGCGTCTACCCTCTGAAGCTAGGCTTTATTGGTGTCGTCAATCGATCCCAGCAAGACATCCAGGGCAGTAAACCGATGGAAGAGGCCCTTAGGGACGAGGCGGAATTCTTCAAGCACCATCCAGCCTACCGTAACATTGCCAACCGCTGCGGTACTCAATATTTGTCCAAGACTCTGAACACCACCCTGATGGCTCATATTCGAGACCGCATGCCGGACATCAAGGCCCGGCTTAACACTTTAATGGGCCAGACGCAACAGGAACTTGCAAGCTACGGGGATATGCATTTCAGCGGGAAGGAGCATCGCGGCTCGCTAATCTTGCAGTTGATGACCCGCTTTGCCACCTCCTTCATCTCGTCTATCGACGGGACATCTACTGACATATCGACGAAAGAACTTTGTGGCGGTGCCCGTATCTATTACATTTTCAATTCCGTTTTTGGCAGCTCCCTCGAGTCCATTGACCCCACGTCTAACCTGTCAGCCTTGGATATCCGCACGGCCATCCGCAATTCTACAGGTCCTCGTCCGAGCTTGTTCGTACCAGAGATGGCTTTCGACCTTCTTGTCAAACCCCAAATCAAACTCCTTGAAGTTCCAAGCCAGCGCTGTGTAGAACTTGTCTACGAGGAACTCATCAAAATTTGTCACACCTGCGGCTCAACCGAACTCTCCCGCTTCCCACGCCTCCAAGCGAAACTTATCGAAGTCGTGTCTGATTTGCTGAGGGAGAGGTTAGGGCCAGCCTCGTCATACGTCGAGTCGCTGATTTCTATCCAGCGTGCATACATTAACACGAATCACCCCAATTTTCTTGGCGCTGCGGCTGCGATGAGTAATGTTGTGAGCAACAGGCAGGAAAGAGAGCGCAGACGCCTGATTCAGGATGAGAGGGAGAGAAGAGAAAAACGTCGCTTGAAAGAGCTAGGCACTAATGGGACAGACGCGCCTGAAGGAGAGGAAGAAACCCACGGCACAGAGAAAGGAGACCCAACAACAGTGCGAAAGCAAGCCAGTAACGCAGTACGTAGCCTATCACCGGCAACAAGGGACAATCCGGCATCTTCACTTAATGCAGCAATGAACACTGCTCGGTCCCTCTCGCCATCCAGATTCAATAGTCAGGGCCTCGGTGGTGCACGGGAGTCCTTCCTCAATTACTTTTTTGGAAAGGAGGGCACCTCGTTGATTGGCGTTGGAGCGAGCAGTGTCCCAGGCCGGGATTCGTCCATTGCCAAGCACATCGGCTCAGCGTCCGAGCCGACATTTTCTCAAAGCGTTCGCCGGAGCGATGATGCATTTTCGGCTCGAACCCCCTTCCAGCATTCAGCAAGAGACGACGAGGAACTTTCCAGATCGCGTCCTTCCGAGTTCGCATCTCATTTCGTACGTCTTTCCAGGTTCAAGTGGCATCATGCATGGTCTTGCTGATTTTTAAACTGCTACTTACGCTTCTTTTTAGGGTTCTTCTGGCGAGCCAGCTCTAACAGACCGAGAAGCGATGGAAACCGAGTTGATCCGCGCTCTTATTTCGTCCTATTTCAACATCGTTAGAGAGTCCATTGCCGACCAGGTACCCAAGGCAGTGATGCACTTGCTCGTGAACCATTGCAAGGACGTGGTTCAAAATAGACTCGTGAGCGAGCTTTATAAGGAAAGTCTGTTTGAAGAGTTGCTGTATGAGGATGATAGTGTCAAGAAGGAGCGTGAGAAGTGCGAGAAGCTTCTGCAAACATATCGAGAAGCTGCGAAGATTATTAGCGAAGTCTTGTAGATGCTTCTGTTGTCCTCTCCAGCATGGATTCGATTACAATGGCATAACATTGCTCTCAAAATGTAGCAATGCCTGTATCTGTAGAGTACTTAATATATTATCTTAGCAGCTTAGACCTTCCCCAAGGCATATAGAGTGTCAGAACACAAATTAAGGTAGGCGGAATTGTGTGTGTATTTATCTAAGTGATGTTCGTTGTGTCAAATACAGCGTAACCGTTAGAGTAAATATACGATAAGAACGGTCAGATTAAGAGGTTCTAAATTAATTATATTAAAGCCGTAAATCGTCGTAAAAACGTGTTACTAAACGTGTGGCTATAGGAGCCTAAATTAGTGCCCGAAATCCTACGGATATCCACCTTTAGGCCTGACCGCGTAAACGGCCGTTAGGTTATTCTATAACCGAGGGACGTCTATACAATATACCCCCTTAACTGCCTAACTATACTAAACGGGTAGATAGTTAAAGCTATTTATAGCTAACCGATAATTCCGGTAGTTTAATTACTATATAGCCTTAGTTAAATTTATCCGCCAGGCGATCTAAATAATCCGTTAAGACCTCTTCTAGCTTCCTTTACTAAAGGCGGTCCTATATATCTACCACGCCTACTTAGGCTCTAAATACTATAAAGTTATCGCCCGTTAACGCTTCTATTAATCTGTCTGCCACTATTTCGGCACTTATAACGTAGCTAACATTAATCCTCCCTTATTCCCGGGCTTCTCGTAACCAATAGTTATAGATATCCACGTGCCGTAAACGCGTCCTTAACGTAGCGATCTCGACGTTAACTAGCCGGATAGTCTAATTATTATCGTGTAGGATCCGCAGTTACGGTTTATTAAATTCTACCCCTATCTATAGTAGTAGTCGTTATATAAAGATACCCTCCTTAGCGCCTTATAATAAAGATAATAGCTTTGTCTCCGATATTAACGTTATAACTATTACTTACTTATTAGCGCGCTACGCGATTATACCTTTACAAAAGCGTATCACGAATGCTTAACTACTCTTCCAATCCACCGTATTATCGGCAAATAAGGCGTCGGTATAGACCTTAATTATATCTCCACTACCTAGTTCTAGGGCGTAGGTTTAGGTTGCTAGCAGGTATTAAATTAAATAGTCAGCGGTATTATAGTACAGGCAACTAGTTTAAGCTTAGTATTAAACAAGTGCCTACTAGAGCCTTTAGGGGAGGCGATTCCGTAACGCCTAACCCTTCCGAGTCACTATAAGAGGCTATAAACCGAAGCTTATAATAAGGCCTAGGTTTAAAGAACCTAGCCACTAAAATCGGCACCTTTAGCCCTATTAGGGTAGTAGGGAAGCCTCGGTGGCTAGGGGCCCTTACGGCCTTCACGGCACTATAGTTATCTCTATACCCACCACTAAAGAATAGAAATACTGCCTAAAACAGGTGCTCTATATAGCCGGCCAGCGGCTAAAGGTCTATAAATAAAGACCTATAACCCCTAGAACCCAGTACTCTAACTAGTAGAAATTCGGACACACACGAGGGACCTATGAGGCCCTAGCTACCTGCCCTATCTACGCTATCGAAGGCCACGGCGAAGAATACCACTACTATAACGAGTATAAAGAATACGGAGACTATAAGCATAAGACCTACAAGTGCAATAACTACGAGGGAGATCAGCCCCCTTTTAGCAGGGACTACGAGGTCTTTAGAGCTATTAAACCCTAATTCTATAAATAAAGGGCCTTATAGTTCGAAAGATATCCGATTTATGTAATAACACGTCGATAAATAGCCCCTGGCGTAAAAGGCTATCCTGGAATAGGCTTTAGAGGCTTCGGCTGATATAGTCCTTATTCAGGAACTAGCCTATGTCTTAATACTAGACGAGTGGTTTATTCGGAACTACCCTGCTTTCTATACCGTTATACCTATATCCTAAAAAACCCAGTTTTTCCTATAAAGCCTAGGGTCCTTACTTATATAAGAAAGGGCTTTAGTATCGACTTTTTATACCGCGACGACCTTCTAAACGATACAGACGCGTAGATTATAGATGTTTATTATCTATAGACCTTCTATATTCTATATATTTATAATTAGATAGAATAGGACCCCGAAATAATAGGCCGAGGGCGGCCCCTTAGCCCTACCCCTTCTACCTCTTCCACTTCTACCTCTTCCACTTCTACCTCTTCCACTTCTTCTTTGTCTTTTCCCTCTTTTTTAGGCCTTAGAAGCCGGCCCTGGACCGAGGATCGAGTGCTTTAGGGCCTATAGGTCCCTAAGCCTACCCTTATTATAGAGGACTTTAACAGAAACCACCGGCAGTAGAACGGAGCTGCTCCTAACTATGCTTCTATTAAGGCCTAGGCCCTAGTAGACTAGTTAAATAGCCTCGGAGCTACCTGTTTAGTGGATTCTAAAGAAGTTAGCGTAAACAGAGGGACCTTTTTTAGGTCTAATCTTCGTTAATAGTCGGTTATAGACCTGGCCTTTTATACGCCCGGTTATAATTATCTCCGCTTCGATAAGTGGGAATATATCGAAACCACTACCTCTTTATACGGCGCTATCCTCCTTTCGGCTATAGTTTTAGGCTCTAAAGGCCCTATAAATCGGTCCCTCCCGCCGGCCTATAACTATAAGCTAGTAGATTAGGACCCTTTTACTCCGACCGTATAAAGCCTAGAACCTAGCCTCGACTAGCACTTTTAATAGGCAATTAACGCCTCGGACTAGGATTCTTTAGGCCGCTGCCTTTCGGATACTATTACCCTAGCGCTTAAGGCTTTAGTGCCTGAGTTACGGGTAGTAGAGCGTTCGAAGTCGTGGTGGACTAAAGAGCTAAAAGCCCTGCGAAAATCAGCTAGTAGGGCCTTTAGGGTTTTTTAAAAGGTAAAAAAGAGAGCCTTAGCTACCGAAGCGTCCTTAGAAGCCTCCTGGAAAGAAGCTCAAAACGTCTATTATCGGGTAGTTAAAAGAGTAAAAAAGGACTACTAGGAGGCCTTCCTAACCTACGCCGAAGGCCCCGAGATTTTTAAGGCCTATAACTATACGAAGAGCGGCCTTAACGCGAAAATCCCACCGATTCTAACGCCTACGAAATAGAAGGCCTACGCCTTCGAAGAAAAATGCAATGCCCTACTTTTGACCCTTTTTCTAGTACCCCCTACCACCGCCACCGACGCCCCCAAAGCCCCTGTATCTATAGGCCCTTCGGGGGGCCTAGGCCCCTCCTACCCTTCTAACAGTCCCTAGAGCCTGACTAGATTACGTAGTAAGGGCCTTAGAAGACTGTGGGAGTGGCCTAGCCTATAGACTATAGAGCTATAATCCGCGATTTTTAGAGCCGCTAAAGGGAAGGCCCCTGGACCTAATAGGATACGCCTAAAACCGATCTAATAGGCCTATAAGGCTATTCGCGGGTCCTTTTTATAGGCCTACTTCGTACTCTTTTCCGCAGGGTACTACCCTACCTACTAGAAAAAGCCCTCGGGGCTATTCTACCGAAGCCAGGGAAGAAGGACTACTTAGATCCTAAGTCTTATAGGATTATAGCCCTTCTAAACTGTCTAGGTAAAGTACTCGAACGGGCTATAGCTACTAGGCTTAGCTTTATAGCTAATACCCGCGACGATCTTATATACCGTACTTAAATAAGAGGTAGAAAATAACACTTTACTATCGATATAGCCTTTCTCCTCCTCTACTATATTAAAAAATAGCGTAAATCACGCTAAAATCCTGTGATTTCTACGTTGTTTTTAGATATTAAAGGAGCCTTTGATTATATCGCCCGTCCTTAGCTACTTAGGACCCTTTAAGACCCCTAACTACCCCCGAACCTAGTTAAATAGGTAGCCTCTTTTACAGAAAATAGGCGTATCTAACTAGCCTTCGAGGGGCAGGTTTAGTAGCCTACCCCCCTAAATATAGGCGTTCTATAAGGCTCTCCGGTTTCCCCTATCCTCTTCCTGATTTATATTAGGAAGGTTATAGCCGGACCGGATTTTCGGGGGCTTTAGCTATCCTATATATACGATTTCTAGCTATCTATAGTGTCTACGTCGACTAGGAAAAACTATCAAACCCTAGAAAAAGCCGTAGCGTCCCTTTCCGAAGCAGTAAAAGTTAACTAAGTCCTTTTCGACTACCGCAAAATAGACCTTATTCACTTCCACCGAAGACGCCCTATAGAAGACACTCCGGTTATTATAGGGGGGGCACCTAGTTAAACCCGCGCTAGGAACTATTAGGTGGCTAGGGGTCTAGTTCGATCCTAAGCTATCCTTTAAACCCTACGACGAAAAACGCCTAAACTTAGCTTTAGGGGCCCTAAATAGGCTATATAGGCTAGCTAATTCGTAGAGGGGCCTTTCCTTTAACGCTTTACGGTAGCTATATATAGCTTATATAGCCTCCTTAGCTGATTTTAGCTCGTAGCTCTAGTAGGACCCTAAATCACCTAAAAAACCCCTAGTGGACCGCCTAGAATGTGTATAGTACGGCGCTTTAGTCCGGGCCCTAGGAGTCTTTAGGGGGGCCCCTTCATAGCCTTTAGAACTCGAAGCAGTAGTCCCCCCGGTAGCGGTTAGGTTAACTCGGTCCAATAGGCTATATGCCTTTAGGACCTTAAAATTTCTACCGAATTACCCTATAAAACGCTAGCTTCTCGCTAGCGTTTAATGGCAGCTAGGGGATAAAAACCTAAACCTCGCCCTCCTTTAGAACCTATAGCCTACTAGATAGCTATATAGGCTAGGGCTAGAAATAGTAGCTTTAGTAGGTTAGTCCTGGGGTATTAAGAGTCCTTCGACTAGGTGGGAGGCCCCCTGGGCTTCGGAACCTATAGCGGACCTAAGACCCTTTTTCCCCCTTAAAGACCAACCTAAAGCAAATACCGACGCTAGCCCTGGCCCTGGCCCCGAAAACCTTAATTAGAAAATAGCCTACCTTGAACCCCTCGCTAAAATATATTATCACCTAGGCGAATAGGCCGCTGTTTTCTATATCGACGGCTCCCTGGGCCAGCCTACTAGGCCCTTTATAGGACCCTCGTAGGCTATAACTGCTATAATATAGTGGACTAATACTGGAAGGCCCTGTAAACCTATACGTTTTAACTTTAGGGCCGCTGCCGAAGTCGCGGACGCTGAATTATACGCTATTCTT